TAAAAATTCTGGTGACCTTCATCGAGAAAGCAGTGGTTCTCTTACTTTCTGTAGCTTCTAGCATATCCTATATTTTAGCACCATATTCCCTAAACTGCATGTGTGTTCCTATAATACATAGACTCTCTTTTCATCCCTTTTTCATCCTTGCTCTTATTGTACTTGTTCTCTTTTTAGCAAGGTCTTTCCTAGTTTTTGTGCAGCCCTTCACTCTTCTTGCAATGTAGGGTATATTGGGGTATTTTACTTCTCTAAAGTGTCTGCATTTCACTGATTTAATGTCTGGTACATACTGCAGTTCTGGTTTCCTGGTAAGACAGCTTATTATAAAACATAATCTGTGCAAAAACTTAATGTGCGATAGCAAAGTTTCTAAAACTCTGATATAGTACACCACATCTCTATAGAACGTTTCATGGACGCTTCTTCCATTCAAGACTCTGTAGACCGCTTCCCCTTCAAAATTGTATAACTTCTCTGTGTGATACCTACTGCAGTTGGTTATATGGGAAAGTAATATTAAGAAAGCATATAAGGTGTATCTAAATGCATCTTAATGACAGAATCATAGAAATGTAGGGGTGGAAGAGACCTCAAGAAGTCATCAAGCCCAGCCCCCTGTGATGAGGCAGGACCAAGTAAACCGAAACCATCCCGGACAGGTGTTTGTCCAACCTCTCCTTAAAAACTTCCAGTGATGGTGATTTCACACAGTCTCTTGGCAGCTGCTTCCAGAGCTTAACTACCCTTACAGATAAATATTAGGAAAAACTTTCTAACAGAAATCTTTCTTGCTGCAGATTAAGCCCATTGCTACTTGTCCAACGTTCAGTGGACATGGAGAACTGATCACAGTCCTGTTCATAACAGACCTTAACCTGTTTGAGACTATTATTAGGTCCCAGATTCAGTCTTCTTTTCTTGATACTAAACATACCCAACTTCATTAACTTTTCCTCGTAGGTTAGCTTTTCTAAACCTTTTATTGTTTTTGTTGCTCTTCTCGGGACTGTCTCCAATTTGTCCGCATCTTTCCTCAAGTAAGTCACCCAGAATTGGATACAGTACTCTAGCATTTCAGACCAATTCTCCACCTTGTCAAGGTCGTTCTGAATTCTAATCCATTCCTTCACAGTGCCTGCAACCCCTCCCATCTTGGTTTTCATCTGCAAACTTTATAAGCACTCTCTCCACTCCATTATCCAAGTCATTAATGACCTGGACCCAGGGCTGATCATTATGGGATACCAGTAGATACACCCACACAGTTTGGCAGCAAACCATTGATGAACTACTCTGAGTAGTGAACCCACATTGATAGTAATTTTATCTAGGCTGCATTTCCCTAGTTTGCTTATGAGTGTGTCATGTGGGACTGTCAAAAGCCCTCCTAATGAATCAAGTTTCAGCAGTTTCTCAGCTGAAAACAGAGAAGAGCCATATAACTAGCCAAGTGGCAACAGACCACCACAAGTGTTCCACAGACCAGGGTTGGTGAACCATTGACCATCATTAATGCTAAATTTAACAGTATGTTACCAAAAAAAGAAAGAAGGCTTCTTGGCTGGTTGAAAATTTTCTTATTTAAATGGTCACAGGTCTTGCCTACACTAGAAAGGGTTTGCTGGTTTAGCAGCTAGCGGTGATGCAATTTATACTAGCTAAAGAATGCTTTTGCCGGTATTGCTTAAACCAATTCCCTGAATAAAATAAGCTATACTGCCCCAAGGACCGTCTCTTGTTGGTATAACTGCATCTACAGTGGGGCTTTTGCTGGAATAGCTATGTCAGGTAGGGGGGTGACTTGAGAAAAAAATAAAACTCCTAACCACCATAACTATGCCAGTAAAACTTTTAAGTGTAAACTAGGCCATAGAAATTGGTTCTCATTACTAATGTACTGCCTGCAAAACCAATCTAATGTGAGTTTCAGAATCACAAAAGACCTTTTCCAGTGAAAATGTACCTAATGCCCATAGAACCTGACTGCATGAGACACTCAACACCTTGTACCGTGTCAGGCGGGGACACATGAGACACTCATAACCTTGTACTGGTCAGGGATGGGCACAGTGCTCTCTTTGATGTGTAGCTTTCAAAGGTGCTTTAAATGTTGGATAATTATCCTTATTTTTGTAGTTAGGAAGTAAAGAGAATTTAAGTGATGCCTACATACCCTGTTCTGTCACCTATCTTACTTTAGTCCAATTTGCAGTACTGCAAGATACTGAGGGCTTGTCTACACACCACTGCAGTGGCACACTTTAATGTTAACATTGGGTCTTTCACTAACACTGCTACTCATTTTAGCAGAAATAACTAGTTCAATGGGGATCAGTATCATTGAGGGGAGGGAGTTTAGGTTTTTGCATTCCTCTTTGGGAGCCACTCGCTGGAGGATATCTGTTGAAAAGCCTTTCTGGCTAGTTTTTGGTGCATTATCCTGCACAACTGTCTGATCTAGCTGTAAATGAGCAATGGGGCTTCTAGAAAATGAGTCTATTCCATACCCTAACAGACTTCTCTCTGCTGCAGTTTTTCTGATTTTTTTTTTTAAGCCTATTTTTTTCTCATTAGTATTGAAGCTCTGGCATAGCAAGACACTCTTCCATGTGTGCAGTAATGGTGGAAACTCAGAGGGGCATCTTTGCCCCCACATACCTGCCAAGTCTCTAATACAGCACAGTAAAGGCAGCTAGAGTTTTCAAGGACATTCTTTTAAAAGCAAAACAAAAACAGAACAAACAATCCAATGCTATTTGTAATCTCATGTCTTTACCAGTCTGCAAAGAAATCTTTAAAAGTGTCTCTCTCTCTACAGGAGCTTCTTTCTTTGTTATAAATAAATATTTATTTATATAGAGATATAAAAAGAATGTCAGGATAGCAAACCTACATATAATGGCTCAGAAAGGCTTTAAGTTATAGAATGTAACAAAGGAAGCAAATTTCAGTTCTAGTTCTTGATCCAACTTCAGAAGCAAACTGTTACAAGAAAAGAATAATTTAAAATCCAGCATTTTGAAACTGTAACCCTATTTTCAGAGTTTTTTATGGTGGTGGTGTATAGAAATAATCCAGACCAACAAAACACAAAATTCTCCGACAGTTCAAATGTGCTATGCCAGGTTCTAACTGGAGAGGTCTGGATCTTTTAAAACATGTTCTGATAATTTTATAATAGCGTATAAATAGCAACTTTTGTTACTGTAGATGTTCTTGTGCACTCATCTCTGTGGCTGCAGAATCATTATGTCATATGGATTCTTAATAAACTAAGTCTATGTCAAAGCTAGTATTAGGGATCTACTATGCTTACCTAGGTGAGGGAATTGCTAATGACATATTACAACTATGCATGGAACCCACTACCTATAGTTAGGGGAATCTGGAACACTCTGTACCCTCCCTCCTACCTGGTATCTCCGCCCTTTGCTGAAACTGAGATTCCACTACCTCCGAATACCCCATTCACTCACTCCCAACTCCTGCTTATACTTGCAGGGAAGGGGCTGTTTTCACTTATCCCCCCTGAAAAGTGAATTATATGTATAAAGGTGATCTCTAGAGTTCCAGGAGCAGGTGGGAAGTGAATTCCTCCCCTGTTATCATAAGCAGTGATTGTTATTTATGCATCTGTGGAGGCTACCGCTGGAGCTATTCTATCTCTCCTCCTTCATAGGTCTGTCTCCAGCAAGAAGAGCTGCTAGCATTAAGAGCTGTGATTGCAGTTCTTCAATGCATAGAATTATTCCCTCAAATGCTCAGTTATAAGCTGATGAGCCCAACAGAAAAATATCAAGAAAAAACCCTTGGAATATATATGTGATGTACAATGAATGGATGTATTCCATACGACATTGTTATAACAAAATTAAAATGTATCCAACAGTGATGGTTCTATGAATCAATGTACATTAGACTGTTCCTCGTTTTCTTTACCAAAGTGGTAAATTTAATCCCTTAATTCTGTCTTGGTGAAGTACTGTATACACTTACAATGAAACAAAATTCTCGTTTATATTTTCATGGTATTCATCTGGCAAGAGCTTGTAGAATGTACTATAAGGGTGTGTGCTGACTTGATAGCTTAGCAACTGTTTTAGGCATAATTTAAAGAAATCCTTAACTGCTAGAGACATTTAAGACTGTGTGTAAAATTGTCTAATATACTTGTTTTAAAATAAACTTGCAAGCTTTTATTGTTGAGGATTGCACCAATGGCAAGAAGAGTATGTAACTAGGACCCAGATCCTGCACAGTGGGGCTTCACATGGGTGCTGGAGTTCCCCTCCACCATGGAGGAACGTGCAGGATAGAGTCCTTGATCTCTAACATTGTCATCTCTCAGATTTGGTTGTGTCATGCCTTGCATAACAAGGTGCTTCTTCATTAAAACAAGAGATCCTGAGGTTCATAAATAGCAAATTTAAAGAACATTGGCAAAAGCAGCATTTGAAATTTTCTAATATTTCATAAAATGGAAATTCTCTACAATCTCATGTAAATAACCCAGATTCCCAGCAATCTCCCCTCACACAGACACAGACACACACACACATCCCTAATATGTCTGTGTTCATAACTTAAACATGGTGCCTGCTTGCAGTTGGCTTTTTATAGTCTCTTTTATTAAGACTAATAAATACCATGCTGGAGATGTAGCTAAAAATAGATTTTTATTCTGTCTTTTTTTTTTTAATTCTATTTGCTTTTCAATTAAAATACTAGAAAACAAATAGGCACCATCTCACTGCCTTAACATAGAAATGAAAAATGATTTATAAATGAACATTGCACTTTCCCCCCTATCTAATAAGGCAGACGTTAGGTTTCTAAACAAGATGAAAGCGTCTTTGTTTAACATCTGCATTTCTTTTAGACCATAAGTAGTGGGTCTATGTCCTGGCTATGTGTATGCAAAATACAGTATATACGTTTATCTGACAAGATTGCCAAAAGCATCCTTCTGAATCTGGTCTTCTCTTATACTCTTTCAGCGATTACCTAGACAGATTGAAGAGCGGAATGAAAGATTAAAGTCAGAAATGTTAGGTAAGTAATTCATGCATATAATTTGTATGCATAGTAAAATTTATGACAAGTTTTGTAGAAATAACAAAACTGCATGACTAGGTAAAATTCTTTGCAGACAAAAGTGGGCAAGTCTCCCAAAGCACTTGTTGTTTAAATGGGGAAAAAAATCTTACTAGATGTCTGTTTTGGGGAGAGGGGCTTGTTTTGTTTTTTTCGGTTCTCTCTTCTCCCTCCTCCCCAGCCATGGAAAACTCTGCTGCTAGAAATTGCCTTGCTGAAACCATTATTGAGGAATTAAATAAGCAACTGTCCAAGACACTCAACAAGAAAAAATTAAATTTTTAGTACTTGTGAAAAGTGAATCTCTTCCTTGCTTGTGCTACACGTAGCTGTCATGCAGTCTTTCACCTCATAGGGCTGCCGACGTGTCACACTTCTGACCTGTCCTGCTAGAAAAGAACTCAGTCTCCTCTGCGTAAAGAACATCAGTTTTCTTTTATACCAAACTCTGAAGATAAATGTGAACAAGGGACTATAAAAATACCAAATTTCCTTTCCCTTCAGACCTAAAAGACTATTTCTACCAGTTTCCTAATGGGATGACATTTTTAAAATTACCCACATCTTGTTTGTAAAGTGCATATTCCAGCTGGTCCAAAAATGTGAAGTATTTTCCGCACTGTGATAGACCCAGGCCAGTTGGGTATAGCAGAAGGCAGATATACTGGCCACTGGATTAACAGTTTTCTGTTCC